TTTTTTTTTTTTTTTTTTTTTTAAAATTTCTCATAACGTTTTTAGTACTGTTATTGTATAACTCATTTTTCTTTGGTGTGTCAAAATTCATTCGGCTATTGAATCCAAAAGTATTTCCACTAAAATCTTTAGATTTCTCTAAATATCATAGCTACTTTCTATAATTCAATTTAGGTTAATTAAGATCGAAAATGCAATTACACCCCCCTTTTCAAGTGTTTGACAATAGATTTTTACAAACTTATGCATTAGTAGTATTGCTTTAGTTTAGTCGATCTCTTTAGACACCATGTAGCATTTTCAGTATGATTTTATCAAAGTAGCGTAAAACTTTATTGATTATTGGAAAATGATTTTTTTTTCTTGCCACAACAAATGCGAAAACTAATTAGTAATTTAGAATAATATTTGGAACAGGAGTTTCATTTTTACATTCTCTGATAAAAAAAATGAATTCTCATAGGTGATCCTATTTTAGTGGATAATTAACCTTTTCTATTAAATTATAGATTTCATCATTTACAAGAGAAGTTGCAATGACGAAAAGGCCCGGCAATTGTTCTCTACCAAAAGAATCTGAAGCAAAAGCTAAGAAGTCAAGGCCATCTTGTCCGCCCCTAAAGGTAATATATATTTTATAATAAAGTGGCATTTAAATTGATGTTTTGGGTCTCTTTCTTTCATGTTAAAATAAAACTGATGTGGACTGAGTTCAAAGCAGGTCAGAAAGGAAAAATTGGGGGATAGAATTCAAACTCTCCAGAGATTGGTGGCACCTTTCGGGAAGGTACATCATACCTATTAAATAATCATAAATAATGTCAATAGTTTTAGGCCATTTATGACTTCCTAAAATAACTTTATTGTTGCTTTTTTTCTTCTAATTTTGACACTTTATATTTTGATATTTTAATTCGCAGACCAGCACAGCCTCTGTCTTGAGTGAAGCCATTGGTTACATCCACTTCCTTCATCAACAAGTCCAGGTGGATATTTAGATATTTAAATAATCATAAATAATGTCAGTCATGCATTCTTAGTTAATTAAACAAAATAAAAATTTAAAATCTTTCTGAGAAAACAATTCTAAAATAAATTCCAAATGAGTAGATGTGTTGAGTGAGAAACTATATAGAAACTTTTTTATTTTGTTATATTCTCAAAATGTTTTAATTTAAAGTTGACTACATATAGATTTAAAAATAAATGGTCAAATTAGTACCTGAAATTGTATGTGTTTCTCAATTTAGTCTCTAATTCTAATGAAACTCAAGGTTCTTAAAAATATAATATGTCATTCATTTAAGTCTTTTTGTTAAATAAATTCCAATTTTTTAAATAAAAGTGTCTACTTGGCACAATATTGTCATGTAACATGCATGTAGTACATATATGTGAAGTAACACATGTCATTACGTGAATGTATCATGTGACATATGATTATAAAATACAATATCATTTTAAATGTTAAACATGACATATGATTATAAAACACACTATCATTTTAATCCATGAAATTGTAATATTGTGTTACTTATTTAGCCTATGAAATTATAACTCAATATCTCTTTATTTTGTAAAACTTTGACTTAATATCACTTTAGTCTCCAAACATTATCATAATCTTATTTTAATCAAATAATTGCGATTTAAATATTTTTACAATAAAATAGATAATTAAATTAATATTGTAAATAGGATGATAAGTGTCATGTTAATTTTTCATTAACCTATTAATTATCTCTTTTTCATTTATAATAATTCTAATAATATTACGTAGAAAGAAGTTATTGCATTATATTGTTTCTAGTACAAAAATGTTAATCATAAAATTAAATTTGTAAAATTATTATTTTATTTATTTATTAGGTTTTTTAATATGTAAAAAATAATCTAAGATGACAATTATTATAAAATGAAGATAGTACTATTTGTGTAAAATATCCTGACCCTAGTAATAGTTTTTATAGTTTACCATAATCAATGTGAATATGTGATACATAGCTGCACTATTTTGAGTGTAGGAACGCAGGGCTGGCTAAAGGCATAGAATATAGGAAGATTTAAGAAAGAAAACAAATTATACGTAGATCTGTATATTTCTTTCAGACTTATATGCTCTTTCAATTATCTGCAGACTTTGAGCATTCCTTACATGAAATCCGTGCAAACCAAGCCCTCTAGAATGGTGCAGCTGGTAAGACATGCATATATGATATATATACTATAGTTTTGTTTGATTTTTTTTTTTTTTTTTGATCAGCTATAGTTTTGTTTGATATTTCCAGAATACTCCTATAGGTGAAGAGTATACTTCAGAAATTATATTCCTTAATTAGAGGATTTAGTTCTTTTTAAGTGATATATGCTTTAAATTTTTTTAGCTATAATTGATAATTATTTGAAATTATACGTAATAATTTATGCTCGTGACATGTTTCTTAATTTTCCTCTTCTTTTAATCTTTTTTGGATTCTGATTCATGCATTGCTCTATAGTACATTGACATGTGAAGTTTTAAACAGACTTCAGTAAAAAAAAAAAAAATAGAAAGTAAAGAAAATTATAATTATGACTTCGAAATATATTAGCCAATTAGAAACCCAACATAGGCATTCAAATATGTGATGTTCATTATTTTTTGTTTTCTGGCTACAGGATTCAAATAGCAGAGAATTAAAGCCAGACCTTAGAAGCAGAGGCTTGTGTCTTGTTCCCCTTTCTTACGCATCATTTGTTCATCGCTGTGTTTAGCCATTTTCATATATAGTTGTTATATTAGATACCTGAGATAACCCAAAAAGTTGAATCAAAAAGTTCTATGGTGTGCTTGTTTTAGTTTGGAGCAATGCCTATTGCCTAGATGTAATGTAAAATGTATAGAGGAGTGAAAATGGGGAAAAAATACAAAAAGTTAATTTTTCACCATTGTACTCACTATATGTTAAAAAACAAAAAATAGATTCAATTCATCTTATTTTGTGCTATAAACAAATATTAAAATGATTGTGATATTTGTAAATTAGTTACATTCAAATTCAAGTCGATCGATCACTACATTTTTGTAAATAAGTGAAATAGCATTTAATGAGTTGATTGAGTAAAGTGCATAAATTATGTACATCTCTTTAGTCCCGAATTCCACTCTAATGATTCATAAAAGGATAATTTACATTAAGTGGTAGGTTTAAATCACGAGTGTTTTTGCAGTTAGTCGACTTCAGAGAAAAAAAAATAAAATCCAAGTGATTAAAGTAGAATAGGTTGGTTAAAATTTCGTGCAAATAAAAAGACTAATTATATACTATTTATTTTGACAGATAATATACGTGCCTTTTTTTTTGTTTTGTTACATGAGTAAAGATAATATGCGTGCCTTTGATATTATTTCTCTGATCATGCATATTTCAAATTTGACATAAAATGAATATTTTTTATTATGCTATTCAACAAAGGAAATTTACTTATATTTTAAAATGATATTTTGGTATTATGTTTTTCTTATTATTTTACTTGTAAAATAAAATTTTATTTACTCACATATCCAAAAAAAAAAATTTAGTGTTCTTTGCGAGGGTTTCGATTTTCATATATATAGTGAGACGTACTCTCTATTTTCATATTAGAGTATATATTCATTTCAGTAATGTACGTCCAAAAATAGGACTGGCTTTTCCATACATTGTGCATAGATTTTTATATACATCGAGAACAAGTCCAATCCTTGATTACTATACGATGATATTTTTGGTACATCTAGTAGCTTTTTGAACATTTAATGTGATAAAATGGCATTTGGGAAATCTTCGGAAAGTCGAACGTAGAATTCAACCCCAGTTAAATTGATCGCTTACCAAATGAACTGCAATATAAAACGAAATATTAATAAACCCTAAACCCTAAAAGTTCTATAAACAAATAACTTGTTACATATAAAAGAAAATACTAAACACACAAAAAAATGATATGTATATAGTTGTAGTGTACGTACCAACTTCTTCTTCTTCTTCTTTTTCTCAATGTAAGCCGAGAGCTCCTCTTGCTTAGAAAGTGAATCCTCCAAAGCCTAACCAGACCGAGCCATTAATTTTATGATGTAAATATTTTATAAAAACTTGTGCATCAATATAAAATGGTGAGAAAAATAATGCAATAATCACGTCCCTAATTAAGATTATGCTTATAGCTCAATGCATGCTTGATTCAATTATTTTGAAGAACTAATGAACACTTATTTATTGAAAATCTTCATGAATTTTTCCTGATAGAAGAGGATATGCGGTAAAGAGAATATGAGAGAATTTGTTACATTTTCAGATAAAACATAAGCTACTATTATATGTTTGAAAAAAAATAGTCTAGGCACTACTTTTATATTTTCATCTGGTGAGATAAACCACTGTATATGGTAAATTTATTTATTCTTACCTATATTAATAGTTATTTCTGATGTGTTAACATTAGTGCATGATCATTAAACGAGGAATATATGTTTCATGATTTAGTTTTTATAAAGATAAAACTGAAGTACATTAGCATAGGTACCTATTCGTACCGTTCTTCATGATTAGAGTTTTCAGTAATATGCATGCCCATTTAAATGCAGACTTTTCAGTAATATATATATTTTTGCATATTATTAAAGTGAAACTTATTCTGATTTTACTTTACTGATAAAAAAAAAAGGGTATATATTTGTTTACCTTCTTGGTTGCCAAGAGTTCATTCTCCAAAGTATCAGCACGGGAGATGGCAGCATTGAGCATTTCCTCCTTCTCAGGTGGCATGCAGATGGTGACGTTGTTCATGTTGATCATCTTCTCTTCCAACTCAGCCATGCGTTTCATCACAGTCATGAACTCCTGGGCAGAGATTGCGGGGTTGGTCATTTGGTCAGAGTTTGAGATCTGCCCCTTGTATTCGCCACCCAAGTTGGAGTAGAAGTTCGCATCTGTCAGCTTCTTTGGCATGTTCCTCGTCATCCTCACCATGGTCAATATTCCCATCACAAAGGCCATCACGCCAGTGAAAATTTGGGAGTTCACTTTCTCGTGAATCTTGAACGAATCAACCATGGCGTAAACGTCTGATCCACCAGCTATCAATACCACAAAACAATCATGTCACTAACTAGTCTTTATATGATAAAATATTATAAGTTTCTTTTGAATGATTGAAAAACTTAAATGCTATAGTAATTCACTTAAATGCATGTGAGGAATACACAAATACTTTTATTATATTAGCATATTTGTTATATGAAGCTTTTTGGTAGATGGTCTCACAGCTTTATCCAAGTTCGGGTACGTAAAAAAGAGAGTTGTATTAGTCCTTCAACAGTTAACGTAAAACTTGTCAAAATCTCAAACAGGGATCACCCACGAATGATTCATGTAGCCGATATCACATGTTGTGATAGAACTTCTACTGCTGTTGTAGTATATGTATGCTTCTTATTTTAACTTGTTTTTTAATAGACAAATAAGTTGGCGAGACTTATCTAAAGCACCTCACAGATGACTTTAAAAAGTTTCAGTCATTTAGAAATATGCGTTATAGAATAGATAAACAAAGGTGCAATTCTACCTTTGGACACTGCAAATTTCTGATTGTCTTCGACCTTTTTATTCCAAGCAGTTTTTTCAGCAGCGGGGACAAAGTCCTCGTAGTTGTATGCCTTAGCAGCAGGTGCCTGTTATATTTTTCGAACATTTAGTAATTTTTTAATATCAAAACAAATGGTGCATGAGACTTCTAAAATATGCAATCTTCTGCATAAAATGTCCACATTGAAGCTACCAAAATGTACTACAAAATATGGTTAGGACGAAAATATGTCATTGATATATATACATTAAATTTTTGGTGTAATTTTTCATATATATTAACCTCTAACTATATTTTTGAGATATTAAGCATGGATAATATGAAAGATGCTAATGACATACCTCAGCAATGACAGCAGACAATTGGGCGGTGAGAGTTGCCTCCTTGGGAGTCTCTGGTTCCTAAACATGCTTATTGATTAGTTTGATGATTAATTCATAACAGAAGAAACATAGGGTTAAAAAAAATCATCAAATGGTTTTGTATACAGAAAAATATATACAATTCAAAATAGAAATGGAAAATGAAAGTCATATGAGCTATCTCACCTCAGAAGTTGTCTTCTCTTCCATGTCAGGAACCTCACATTTCCTTGAGCATTTGTGTGCACCGTTTTGAACCATCTGCGAGTCCATATAGATATACATAAAATACATAAACTTGCAAATCCATATGGAACAAAAATTGTTAATTAAAACATAAAATGATAAAGAAAAAAACAAATTGTAATCACACCTTCATTATTTCTGCATCCTTCCAAGGGCCCTTATCAGAGCGCAAGCAGCCTTCAGCACAGTTGCAACTGCCTCCCAAAAACTCTGGCAACTCACTGGCAAAGCAAAATCAACAGACACGAAGATTGTTAATAGCCTTAAGTCAATGTTGATAAAAAGGTTTTGCATACATAGAATATGAAAATTTCGGAGCAGGAAAAGGATTGATATTACTTGTGGCACAAGGAAAATCAGGTACTATGATGTAATGTAAAAGTATGTATCTGTTATCATGAACTCACCTCTCATCTATTATTTCAAGCAATTTGCTTTGATACTTGTTGCCAAGAACCTGATAAATTATAAGCTCAATTAGATAAAATCCCATTTTTGTAACAAAAACAAGATAAAATCCCATTTTCTTGACAAAAAGATAGGAAGATATTTAACACAAGGTCTTAGTTCTCTCACATGGATCTTTGATGTGGTCTTTGGGTCAAGGAAAGATTTAACAGTGCTCCACAACATTCTGAATCCAGAACCTGCATTGATGATGAACATGCGGTTCAAGGTCTGCAGTGAAGCCACAAATTTCATGATATTACAACCCAGTAAGCTACAATATTATTTGGAACTAAACTTTTATGAAAATCTTGACCAAAATAAAAGAAAAACATACTTCAGGGTAGTTGTCACCATCAATCTTCTGAAGGGCCATGATGAGCTCCCTGGCATGCTTGTTGAAGTTCTTAAGCCCCTGTGACATTAAGATCAACATTGCAAGTTTAATTGTCATGTTGCTGTTAAGTTACTATTTCAATTTCATTAATGGATTGGCTCCTTTCTAATACTTACCACTCCTTGCACATCAAGGATGGTTGTGCTTTGATCGATGTGTTTCTTTGCAGCAATGGAGCAAGCTGCGAATTTCACATCGAATGTTCTCTCAAACTCCTTGACATGGTACTTGATGTAGCGATCCATGGTTGTGACTTGCATCAACTTGGTGGCATCTACTTGGCCCAACCTCTCGATGTACACTGGTCTTCCATCTTTATCAACTCCGTGATGTCCTTGAGGATAATATTGCAACACTTCATCGAGTTCCTTGAATTCAAAATCCTAATATAGAAGCCACTAAATCAGTAAAAAAAAAGGAGGAGATAAATTATAAAATAAGTGGAAAAAAGGTTAATTGGTTTAGTATATAACACTATTAATACATCCCCTGAAGTCTCACAAATAACGTTGTTCAAAAAGAAATACCTCGACGATGGTGTCAGCACCGAATTCCTTCCTCCAATTAATCATGTCAGACCACATTTGCTTTGATTTCTCAAGGTCAAATTTCCTGGCCCTCAGGAACCTGTTCAACAAAACGCAATTAATGCAGAAAAAGTGTCAAGTTCTTACTCAAACAATTGAGTGAATACATAATTTGGTCCCTAAAATTTTTACTTTCATTGTTTTGCCTGTAAAATTGGTTCCTGAAGTTAACAATAGGGACCAACTTGTAATGCCAAAAACTTTCAAGGATCAAAATGACATAAGGGGGCCAAACTATATAATTACTCTGACTATGACCATTATTTGTAGGAATGGAGCCATGGATGCAAATTTTATAATTAGGATAGCATTCCTATTCACTCTTACAAAGATGAATAGTTTCCACCATTATGACCAACCTTGTTGAGTGTTAACAAATTGTATCAAACTTTTGTGACTCATTGATAGGAGGCAAATTAAGCAAGAAAAGTGAGGTGACCTGAGCAACATATGATAATCATCGTGCTTCTCAGGGAGAAGCTCTTCCAAGACAAGAGCCTGACGGAACTCATCAACAGCTTTGGACTCCTCGGCATCGCGGATATCCTCGATTTCAACCGACATGACCTTGCTGCTGCTGCGTCTCCTGCTCTTTGTCAGGGAGTTCCTCAGCCTCTGCTTCAAGGAACCAACCCGATCACTCTTTTCTAGAGCTGCAATATGCAACCATCAATCACAATTATTTATTCATATCATCGTAGCCAAACAAAAGTACTAATGCTTGTGTGATTTAGCTTTCTCAGCTGAAGAAATAATCGTTCATTTTTATCACAAGACAACTTACATTTAGTTTTGTAAGTTTTTTCATTTCTGATCAGAATTCGAGTTTTACCTCGTACATTCAAACTAAATCTTTATTGTGCCGGTTACTAATAATGTGTTTGATATCAGATCATGTATATACGTAGTTTTCACATTGAAGTTGAAGCAGCTAGTCGTAGCTTTTACATCAAAGTCCCATTTGACGTGATTTTTATAGTTGGAGAACGTAGTTCCAAATTAACATGCATGCACTAAGATAAAATTCTAGCCCTTGAATCGAGAATAGTAAAAGAATCTATGTGCCCTTTATGGAATGTGATGTGTGTTTTGTCCAGAAATAGTCTGAACCAAAGATGTAATGGACAATTTAAGATGAACCCTCGAAAGAAAGAAAACTGTTAGGGAGATGAAACTGACATGTCTTTGGAGACAGGGGTCCAGACATGGTGTGGCTTTTGTTGATAGCTTCTGCTGGGTATTCAGGGTAATCAATCACTCATCATACGAAAGCAGAAAAAAACACAGCACACCCGAATGTCCTGCATGCATGCGACCCCACCAATCAGTAATAATTAATCCATCAAACATATAATAATGCATGCAATTAACATTTGCACCAACGTGCATGCCATGCAAACACATGAGCCTCGTGTCATGAACGTAGCGTAACGCATGAGTGTGAGGTTTTAATTAGTGTGAAAACTAATGAAGTAGAATAAGAAACTGAACTGAACACCGGAAGATGGAAGAGAGGAACAAGTATCCAATGGGATTTACAAAGTTCGACAAAAAAGAAATGAAGAAAGAAAAAAAAATGACCTGTTGATAGCGAAGGGGACAGGGAGAAAGGAAATAAAGAAGTTATAAGAAGAGAGGATAAGCCTGAAAATAGGTTCTAGTTTCAGAGACAATGAGCCTTCCACAATGGGGCCATTGACCAAGTCAAGGTTTTCTATTTTGGAGAAGAGAGATATCAATAGAGAAAAGACAGAGAAAAGACAGAGATAGAAGCAGGTGTTTAGGCGAAATGTGAGGCTGTTCCACTCATGTTGCATCCATTTCTCTCCCATGATCATGTCTCTCATCCCTTTTTGCCTTGCCACATGCCGAATAATTCTTGATTGTTGTTTACGGAAACACACCATCCATAAATAACAAACAATATCAATCCAAATCAAATGCTCATTTATCAGCAAGTATGTTGTTATTGGAATGTAAAATTAAAATTAAAAAGTAAAATAGTAAGTTGATTTAATTCTTATAGTTATTTATGGCATTTGAGTAAATGCTGAAATTAGTTCCTAAAATTGGATGTCGCTCTTAATTTAGTTTGTGAAATTGTATGTCCATTCTCAATTTAGTACATGCTTCTAATAAAACTCAAATAAAGTTATTAAAAATGTAATTTTTCACTCATTTAAGTTGTTTTCTTAAATAAGTTCTAATTTTTTAAACAAAAGTGTCTAAGTAGTATATGATAGTGTCATATATGTATATGGCATACATATGATATATATGTGAAGTGACACATGTCACATAAATGTAGCACATGATGCCTATGTTTCACGCGACATATGACTATAAAATATAATATTATTTTAATCTCTAAATCTATAACACTATATTACTTTATTTCTTGAAATTGTAACTTAATATCACTTTAATTCTTAAAATTTTAACTTGATGTCACTTTAATCTCTAAACGTTATCATAATTTTATTTTATTCAAGTAATTATGACTTGAATGTTTACATAATAAAATAAATAATTAAGTTAATATTTTAAATACAATGATAAATATATTCATTATTCAATTGTCAAATTGTTATTTTTTTAATTCAATTTATTTTATAACAAATAAAAAATTTCCAATATATATACATATACATATACATATACATATATATATATATATGTTATTATAATAAAAATAAATAAAATATCAAAGACATAAAAAATTTAATTTTTTGGGAAATCAAAGTGATAGATATTTTTCATAATAGGAAAATAAGAAACAATTTTTATGAGAGAATTAAATATGAAAATAAAATATAAATATGGAGAAACTAGAAACTATTTTTATTTATGTATTTTAGAAAATAAAATGGATAATTAAAGAGGGGGGAAATTGACAATTAGAATAAGAGATATAACATATTTAAAATATTAAAAAAAAACTAGTACTTTTCATATATTTTTACCTGGTAAAATTGTTTTTCTGTATAGAAAAATTGTTCGTCTACCCTCTCCTAAACAACAGGGTCCATCTGCTCCACCCTAGAGTTCTCCCCTTACAATAGAAGCTGATCGAGATAATCTTCTTGTTGGTCCCTTCAAAGCTCTCCATTTTGCTTACTAGAAGCAAACACTTTATGAAAGAAAATTTCACAAGTTACTTAGCCTCTAAACATTGAGTTGAGCTCTGATGAGGTGGGAGGCTAGTCTTAAGGGGAGATCCACTTTTGCACAGTCTTTTTGCTAGTGCTAAAAGGGGAAGTAGAGATTAGTTTTTGAACAATTTAGCTTTTTTTTTTATACATTTTTTTTGTATGATATGCTCTAATAATTGGATATGTTCTGATTAATTATGCTTTGATTAATGGTATATAATTGTTGGTATTGCTAAATTTTTGCTCTATACAAATATAATGCCTTTTAGATAATTAATTATGCATTTTATCTCATACTTACATATGCTCTAGTATGAATATCATAAATTAGTAATACTTTGAAAAATAGGCTTTTTCATGAAAATAAACGACATACTCTAAACATATGATTTCATAAACACATTAGGCTCTGATATGCAACATAGGCCTTGATATACATGATAGATAACACATGCTCTAATAGACATTTGAGACTCTAATGTGCAATGTATGCCCTAATGCGAATAAGTCGATATGTTGATTTTGATAGATTCTAAAATGAATAAGCATGTTAATATACATACCTACTTAATCATCAATAATTCTATGAAATGTTCAACAAGATCAAAAGAATTTGTCAATATACATGTCTTAAATGAATGTATACGTAAAACTAAAAGCTTGTATGATCTTATACATAACGTGTGATAGATGTGTTCTTGTACTAATTTAATACATTTATAATGCTTCCACGTCTTAAAGAAAATCCCATTAAAAAAAATTCTCTGATTAAGTTATCTTTGCAAAAATCATTTGGTCTTAATCAACGAAAATATTTTCCAAGACAAGAAAAGTCTTAGTTTCAAAATCGTGTTTGTCATCATCAAAAAGGGAGAGATTATTTGGTTAAAAGATGATCTTAGATCCCTCAAACTTTCAAGTTTTAATGATAACAAACATAATATTTTTTTAAAGGAAAAATATTTTTTACAAAATACAAATTAGACGAAGCATAAGACACAAACTTTTAAACAAACGAGGTATCATTAGATAGCATATAACCTTACCTCATAAAGTCTTAAATACGTATCATTTATAATAAGTAATGACTACTTGGTGCGTGACTAACCAATTTCTTAATAGATCAAACAAAGAAAGCTTGTTGAAACTTACAAATCTATTAAATGAAGCCATGTTGTGCACAAACAAACAAGGACAAGCAAATCCCTAAAATCACAGAGAAAGTCAATAAAATTTGATGCAAAACCTTCTTTTCACTAACACGCCACAAAAATGGACGTAGTCTCAATAGTTGAGACGAACTAGTATAAAAATTACCGTGTGTTTCATCCATCTATTTTTCTACACTTTATTGTTAATGTTACTAATTTATTTCTCAAAAAAATTGAAAGTTTTTATATAGGTATTATTCAACCCCCATTTTTGGTGTCCGACTTTTCTCTACAACAAGATTATGTTTAGTTAATGGTAATTTATTTTTAAAGTATTAATATTTAATTTATAAATATTTATGATAAACAAAAAGCTAAATTAGATATGAAAGTAAAAGAATCTCTAAAATCCTAGAAAAGTCACACAAGATAATTGTTTGTATTTTATGTATAAGGGTTAATACAATATTAAATACCAAATTCTTAATATGATTTGAAAATATTTATCATCATATTTACAATATTAATTTAATTATCTATTTTATTATAAAAATATTAATTCAAGTCATAATTAGTTGATTAAAATAAAATTATGAAAATATTTGAAGACTAAAGTTATATCAAGTTAAAATTTTTAGCGACTAAAGTGACATTGTAGACACCTAATTTCGTTCAGACCTATAAACAAAAAAATGAACTTCTATTATGAAGGAAAGGAGCTCCCGAAGCATGGAAATGACATGATATGACATTAGAAGGCCTAAAGCCCAACATGTTTGATTTAGTAGCCCGGAACGGATCGTTCTAAAGCTTAAACGGGCCGACTAAAAGGCATGAAAACCCTAGCTGAGAACGAGCCAGAACGGGCCATTCCAGCATAGGTTGCTATGAGTCAAGTTCAAATCTAGAACAGATCGTTCTAACACAGAACGAATCGTTCCAGATTCAAATTTAACTCATAACGAACTGATCCAAAATAGGTTGTTCTGGTCAGTTTTGACGTTTATAAATAGTAGACTCGAGCACTGCTTCCGAGGCCCAAAAAATTCGTCTAGGAAGTCTTATTAGCTCGAAATTTCTCTCTCCTCCCTCCTATATTTCTTGAGATTTTGTGAGGCATATTGTAGTGTGAAAAGTAGCCAAAAAGTATCTAATAGATCTCCTTATTTGAAGATCCAATAAAGCTCAATCAAGAGTTATTTCATTCAATACTCTTCTTTTTTCTATACTTCTTTATTTTCACAAGTATTGTTTCAAATAAAAAGAAATAACCATGTAGACATCCTAGCTTCATCATAGGGTACCGATTTAGGGAGCTGTAGAGGTGCTTAGTACCTTCACTACACATAACCGGCCCCTAAACCCAATTTTGGTTATTAAGGTCATTATTGGACTTTCGAAAATCTTCTTTTTTCAATCTTTTGAGCAAAATATTGGTGGCGACTCCATGAACTATTTTTTAAAATCATTAATTAAGAATTAGTCTGATTTTCGAACATTCCCTAATTGATGAGATTTTTTTAAAAAGGTAGTTCAAACCATTAATCGTAATATCATAATTTTTCGAGTTACGACAGACATTAAGTTATACTTTCAGGTATTAAAGTTAAACAGTGTTACAGTTTTAGAGATTAAAATGATATTGTGTTATATAATCATATGCTACGTGGAACATATATGTCACATGGCACACCACGAGACACGTCACATGTGTCATTCTATATATGTACCATATATATGTTACATCACATTATTGTATCACATAAACATTTTTGTTTTAAAAAAATGGAACTTATTCAATGGAAGGACTTAAATGAGCGGCGTATTACATTTTCAGGATTTTTTTTAGTTTCATTAGAATTGGTGTCTAAATTGCGAGCAACATAGAATTTTAGGGACTAATTTATATTTACTCTATTTATTAGTTATTTACAAGAATCACAATAACTAAGGTTAGTTAACACCTAAGAATGATAATATGTTAAGTCTTAAACAAAAGTTTATGGCCTAAAACCTATTTAAAGTCTATATTTTACTAACCTTTTTAATAATAAAAAAATCATATTTTTAATAAAGTTTATTTATTTAAAACAACCGGACTTAGGCTTATAAAAGAAAAAAGTATGTTAGACATAAGCAACCTATTTATATATATATGATATATAATAATAAAATATAATATATATTTTATTTTTAACAATATAATTAAATAAATAAATTTGTGATACATAAAATTAAATTATCAATATTTTTGACATTTTACACTTAGATATTTTACATACTCTTTTTGTATAAAATCTCATAAATCTAAAGTAGAAATTCTAGTAATCACATCTTCACTTGCTCATTTCCTTCATCTTCATAATTGATTATTTAAAATATTTCAAATAACATATAAGAAATATTTAAAATATTATTTTTATAAGATTATCTTCTTTCGTCATAACATGTGGCTGAGTGTACATTAGTATATATAGGGTATACATGAGTTGTCCTTCTTAGATTATTTATTTTTTTTATTTTTATTTTAAAATTTAAATTTTAATGGTAATATATTAAATTATTTTTTATCATGCAAAAAATATTTGCATGCGTAATTTAAAATAGATTTATTAACTTATTTATTAAGTTTATTGACCTATTCAACGTGATTAATATGAAATAATTTTTTTAAATAAGTTAATAGGTCAAATTATAATTTTAAAAATATTAGATTAAGTTTATAAAAAAATCTATAATAAATAATAGGACATATTTAAGCTTTAATTTTATAGAAATGTTTGAACTATATATTAAAAGTGAAATATTTTTATTGTTACTAATACATAGTTTATACTATAGTAATATAGTAATAAGTTAGTTATGCATATATAAAAATTGCTTGTAAATATATTAGTAAGTTGATATATATAAATTCGTCTATATAATTTATGATTAAAAAATACATGTATATAAATTGACAGTTTTTATTAAAAAAATTATCTTCTATGTGATTTCTAAAAGTTATTAATATTTAATAAATATATAATCACATTATTAAATATTTTATTCATCATAAATATATATCGGTAAATTGTCATATTTGTCATGTAATAAAGTAAATTATACATTAAATTGATACGCGTACACCAAAGAATAAACAACGTTAGGGTGAAATATTATAAATATTACTATTAATTGAATCTTGAATGGAAAGCTCTCTATTAATTGAATAATAATTTAATTGTATTTGAATTAATTTTAAGTTTGCTTTCAACAAAAACAACTTCAACAATGTATCCACTCTCAAACTTCATTATTGACATTAATATTTTTTTTTAATTAAAATCATTCTCCTTATTTTTAATATTTTTTATTGAGAAGCGTAATATCACAACTTTTATGATTTTCTATGCATATTTCTAATGATAAAACAAATTATTTTTGATTACTTAATTAGTATCTAAAGTGTTATTAAGATATTAGTTATCAAGACTTAATCTCTACTTATAAAATTTAAATACAAGTGAGTCATTGTAATAATAACAAACCAAAGCCATGAAAACATTTCGATCGGGATTAATTTGCTTAATTAGTAGAACTTTTAGCGTGAGCAAGTATTGAAAATCTCCTTATTTGAACGCTCAAAACATCATGTGATATCACGCATTTGGCATTGGTCTTACAAAAATTATAGTTTAATTTGTTGAAATAAGCAATTTCTTTTAATTAGTATGAGATATTCGGTGTCAAAAATAATTAATCTTTGTGAAGAAAATTAAACACTCACAAAGTGAATATTCTTTTTCTAACATAATCTATTTAATATCTAAGACTGAAATTAATTTCAATATGAAGTTTGTTTGTTTAGTTAATTAAATGAGATATTTTGTAAGTGAATTAATTTTATTAGATTATGACATTTTCTTTTTCAAATGCTATCTAAAGAAACTTTTTTATCCTCATTACTTAAATAATATTTCTATACATTGTTTCCTTCAATATTTGATTATTTAATTTAATTATTTCACTATATTTTGTTTTAATAAAATATTGGATCCTAGACAAAAATTCACAAGAGTTCAAAAATAAATATTAATGTTAAGGACAAGTGGACAACATGCAAGATCACCACACCTAACAAGATTTTATGTACATGCTTATCAAACATATTAATCACACGTCAATTTACCGATTCATATGGATTTGCATGTTTGAGGCCTAGTAACCAACGAACTAACTTGTTTTTTGATATATAATTCACTTAAATTATTTTTATAGTATATTTTTAATTTAAAATCATAATTTAATTATATTATATATATAAAATGTGTTGTGTAATTTTTTAGCAGATTTTTAAGACATGATATAAATTTTATTGAATTTTATAAGTATAAAATATATTTGACATGAATATTCTTTTTTTAAAAATTTAATAGAGATCGAGTCATGCAATTCGATTAGTAATTTATCGATCCAACATCTAATCAATTGATCTAGTATTCTAACTAATTTGGTAACTAATCCAATTTTTAAAACATTGCTTCCATATGACAAATTAGTAATGCTCCATGATAAAATCTTCCAAAATGAGAATTGGTGATGTTTCTTTCAACTTAATTATTATGTTTGAATAAAATAGTATAGTTTTTATGATTATTATGATTTACTTTTTTAATTTCTATTTAAAACATTGGCTCAAATTATTTTTCTTATTCAATAATTTTAGTTGTGATTCAATGATATTATAATATTGTATTATTAATTAATTAATATATGATATTGGAATGTTAAAAAATATATTATTAATTAATATTGATTTAACCATTAAACTTTAAACCAATGTTGTCACTGATTTGATTAAGAATCTAATTTTAAAAACATCGATGTAAACATATATTTTGAAGTAACAAGTGATATAATGATAAATGAGTTCTAAGGTGCACCACTTCATCATGTGGTCATGTGTACTACAAATAGTGACTGGTAGATTGATCCAACCTATAACTCTTATTATGCACCCTCTCTCACCATAACATTGTCACTCCACTTTCTTAGCAACCTTCACCAACCATTACCTATGATTGCTCGAAACAATTTGAGTCGTAACGATGTTCCTTCAAAACCCACAGCCGTAAGTCATCATACAAGACCCATTATGAAGAAATCCTTTAGCCATGAGCAAGTCACTTTCATTGCTCCTTTCTCCAACACCCCTCTCGTTGTCGTCGATAGCAACATCTTGCACCCTCTTCTTGGAGAAGCGTGGCATTCACTCCACCATACTTGACACTATCCATCTCTCCCCCTATTTCACTTCACCCTTGCAATATTTGAGTATTCACAATCTTGGAGGAAGATTGGGAACCAGGTCATCAATTCTCATTTGTTAAAATTTGATCATCACTCAATTCTTTATCATTGATGATTTTCAATTTGTTAAGATCATGTAATAGGAGTTTTGGTGCGCAAGTGGAAAGATATTGTAAGAGAGCTTCACAACAGTGACAAGGAGAGAGAGAGAGGTGGCGACAACAAAAAAAGGAGGAGTCATTTGAGAGAGTGATGGTGG